GGTGGATGGATTCTCTGTCCAGGTGTTTTCCTTTTTTTAGAGACAGGGTCTTGCACTGTTGCCCAGGGTAGAGTACAGCGGCACGCTCATAGTTCTGTAACCTAGAACTCCCGGGCTCAAGTAATCTTCCCACCTTAGCTTTCTGAGTAACTATGACTATTGGCCTGTGCCACCATGCATGGCTAATTTTTAAAAAAATTTTTGTTTAGAGATAGGATCTTGCTTTGTTGCCCAGGCTGGTCTCAAACCCCTGCCCTCAAGATCCTCCCACCTTGGCCTCCCAGAGTGCTGGGGTTATAGGTATGAGCTGTGCCTAGCCCTAGTCCAGGTGTTTTTTAAAATCTCATTCCTTTTGAAATAAACTGTAAAATGTTATAATCCAACTATAAATGTACTTCAGGTAAGAACAACACTGATATGATGTCTTACTGATTAAATGCAGTAGGTAGGTGTGTAAGAACTTCTTTGTGAAAAAAAGTTACTAATAAGTTTGATTTAATAGGTATATAATATGCACATACTGGCCAACGATTCTGAATGGATTATACAGCAGTTCAGTTTTCGTGGAGGTACTTATTTTCATTTCTCCACAGCCTTACAATTCCTGGGAATAGGGGATGTTTTGCTGCCACCAACTTTCCTGGTGAGTTTCATAGCAAATAGGTGCTATGCTGTTTGATTTTCAGTGACCTTTCGGCATGCCCTGATTTGTATGTATAACATTTGTGTTTAATTTTGAGGCAGAGTGGTAGAGTAGACAGACTTAGGAGCTGTCAAAAGACAGGGTTTCTCCGCACTGTTATGTACTAGCTGGGGCAAATCAGGGCCCGTTTCCAACACCTGTAAAATGAAAGGACTGCACTTGATCTTTAAGCCCTGTTCCAATTATAACATTTGGTGATGATAGAATTGTGCATAAAGCTGCAGATCTAGAGGAAGATCTGGGTTTGAGTCTTTTTTAGCTCTGTTTTTTCTTACTGATTGTATGATATTGGGCCAGTCAGTCTCCCTTAGGCCTCAGTATTTTCATCTGTAGAATGGGAACACCACTAACTCACACCATTGCTGTGAAGATTAGGTTTGGTAATGAATATTAGAATAACTGGTACATGGAAAAGGATTATAAATTGCTTTATTAACAATAAAAAAGAGCATATAACCCTCTACCTATAGGTGCACATCTGCTATTGTGTTAGATTTCACGTAGTGTACCCAGCCTACCTTCAGTCAAGCACATATTATAGGCCTATAGGGAAGGTTTTCTTCTCTCCTCTCCCAAAACTGTTGTTTGCTTTCATCATCTCTTCTGTACCAGAGCTGCAGCCTTACCTTTGCTTGCTTCCCGACATCCACCTCCACTCCAGTGATTTCTCCCTATCTCCATCTCTGTGTTGTTTGAACTAAATGAATCCATGAAGGAGCAAATAAATGGATGAATGAATGGTAATGGGTGATGGGCTATGAAGTCATATTTAAAGGCATTATCTCATTTAAAAACAATCTAAATAAATAACTACAATGGTATTTGCAGTTGTGTATTCGTATTGGATTTTGTATTACATAAGTTAATGGATAGTCTTTTTATTCATAGATTCCAAGTGGGGGAGGGGATAAACTTTAAGTCCAATAAGCTCTATTCATTAACCTATCCAGTCTTCACTGGTATTTTCAGAAATAGCCAGAGTTCTAGAAAATACGTATCAGAAGCCTAAACAATCTTAAAATGTTCCTTGTGTGGGTTTCTGTCGCACCTGACTTAAATATATTGCCTTCTGAACCTAGGAACTAGAACTAGGCAGTAGGCCTGGTTTAATGTAGTGTCACTTGTTTGATTTCGAAATCAGATGTGTCTGGTGTTAGTAGCACTATTCAAATTTCACTTCCCTTAAACCTATTTTTAAATTTGATTTATATGAACTAAATATTGAGAACTTTTAATTGCAATGTCTGACGTAAAAGTAACCTTAAAATTAAAGTAAGTCCTGTGTTTTTTTCTCTTTCTTATTCATGTTGCCTCTGCTTTTTAAAGCACAGTTTTCTTTATATTCAAAGCAGAACTTTGGTCAGTGCTCAGGGAAGAAGTTTAGTAAGCGGCTGAATTGTTTTTAGTGACTCTCATTCTCAAAGCTTGGTAAGCTGACCCTTCTGTTGAGTATTTAAGATTTTACTTAAAGACATGGTACCTGAGTTTCGTTACTTGATATGAATTCCCTTTCAAGATTTCTGAATTTTATATTAAGTAAAACATAAGTTTGCTCAATGTCACAGTCAAAGAAGAACTGCCAACTTTAATGAAGTTTTGCTTTGGGAATTAAAATGTAAATAACTTTATGAATATGGTAATTATACTTTACTATAAGTAAATGCTTAACATTTACATATTAACTATAGGCCAATAGAAGCTTATAAAATTACCAAATAAATTTATAATTATTGACCAAGGTAAATAACTGACAAAAATGGTGTATTTTTTCATTCTTTTAGAGTGGTAGGTACAATTTGGCCTTTCAGAGAGCTGTGTTTACTAGTAGCTTCTGTAATGTTTTACTTTACTAGGTGTGGCCACATCAATACAACCTCTTGTTTAAAGTTTAGTGGTATACCAGGATCAAAGGATTCTGTAAAAAAAAAAATAATAAAGTTTAGTGGTAAAGGCCAGAGTTTGACTAATTTTTGTTTAGGAAAGACAGTCCTTGAAATTTTATCTAGTTCTAGAATCTTTAACTGCTGTAATTGCTTTTATAAAACAGAAAAGTATGGATATCTTTTGGCAATTTCTCTGGGTCCAGCAAAACTGATATATGAGAGTCGTTGAAGATGTAGGACTGACGATACCATGGGTCTGCACATTAGATTTCCAAAGGTAAGTTTAGATGTCTCACATCATGCTGGTTATTAAAATATGTTTAACAAAAGGAATTATCAAATATTCAGGCAGAATCACTTTAAAAACTAAAAATTCATAAATACATAGTAGTTAGAACATTAGAAAATATTTGCTTCTAGTGAGAAATCCTTTTTATGTCTGAAGAACAGATCATTCCTAGGGGAGAAAAATCTCGGAAATAAATGCAATGGGAACAATTATACATAATGGCCTTAACAGTGATTAGCGGCACTTTTCACCAGGTGTATGTGTATCTATAGAATGTTTTCTCTTCATTACAATGTTAGAATCATTTTTCATGCATGTTCACATGGTTTTGTTTAGTCATCTATGGCACTACTATTACAAACCACTTACAGGTATTTGAAACAATTTTGTTGTCTTCAAAACATTAACCACCAAAGATGACACTTTAGGAGAGTCTACACCTCTGTATTTTAAAGTCTATGCCATATGGTACTACTTGTGCCTTTTAAGATTGTTTTGTTGGCTGGGCGTGGTGGTGTGGGCCTGTAGTTCCAGCTACTTGGGAGGCCGAGGCAGAAGGATTGTTTGAGCCTAGGAATTTTGCAGTGAGCTATAATGATGCCACTATACTGGAGCCAGGATGACAGAGTGAGACTGTCTTAAAAAAAAAAAAAAAATAGTTTTGTTGATAATTATATTAACAAAAAACCACTCACAGTTTTTAAGTGATACTTGGGAGGATAACAAAATCTGAGTTAGAGACAGCTGACTTTGTTTTGAGGCAATTTTAGATTTAATGGGAAAATATTGCAAACTAAACATACTTGTGACCAATTTCTATAAATATAACCTTGCTACATATAAATTTTATATGAGAAAATCATTCAAGATAACCTTTTTTGCATTACAAGTGAGTTTTATTGAAAATTTGAAGCTGATTTTTAATTGTAAGATTAATAGCATCTGAATTCAAATTCTAAATGGTTTCCAATATGTAAGGTAGTTTATAACCATAATACTTTTCTTCCTCATTTTTTTGTTTCATTCCTGATTTTTAGCTTTTAACTAGTAATGAGTTAAGAGGAGGTAATGTTGTTACCAAAGAGCAAAACCTAGTTCTTTGGACTTAATTTGCATGACAAATTTTTGCTTACTGTAATTATAATTCAGTTAAGTGGCTGTAATTTTCTTTAATGTTATCTATGTTTGTTTAGCTCATGGAAAAAATGTTGTTGAGCATTGAGCACCTTTCAAAATATACAGGGTGAGTATCCCTAATCTGAAAATTTGAAATTAGAAATGCTCTAAAATCTGAAACATTTTGGGCACTGACATGATGCACACAGGAAATGCTCAGTGTAGCTTTTCAGATTTTGGACTTTCGGATTAGGGATGCTGAATTGATAAGTATAATGCAAATAATTCAAAAATCCAAAATAAATGTAAAATCCAAAACACTTCTGGTCCCAAGCATTTTGGATAAGGGCTACTCAACCTGTCACTATGTGAGAACAAGACAGTGGATGGTTAAATGAATTTCCACACTCATGTTGCTTTTATATAAAGAGACAAAATATTTCAGTGTGCCTCAGATTATTTGGGAGAGAGAAAATGCATTCATATTTGGAGATTTCTAATATGTTTAATTTGCCTCTTTAAAAGTTTTCAATTAGTACCAAAAGAGACTAGGAAAGAACATGTGATTAAGTATACGTATAGTAAATTCAAGATGACCTTTCCATGTATTGTTGACAGTTACCTTTAAGTGGTATTGGCTGAATAACTTATCTTATTAATAAGTAGCTAGGGCTGGGCATGGTGGCTTATGCCTGTAATCCCAACACTTTGGGAGGCCAAGGGAAGAGGATAGCTTGAGGCCAGGCGTTCAAGACCAACCTGAGCAGCACAGCAAGACATCATCTCTACAGAAAGTAAGAAAAACTAGCCAGGCATGGTGGCGCGCACCTGTAGTCCCAGTTACTTGGGAGGCTGACGCAGGAGCATCGTTTGAGCCCAGGAGTTTGAGGCTGCAGTGAACTATGATCATGCCACTGCACTCTAGCTGGGCAACAAAGCATGATCCCATCTCTTTAAAAAAAAAAAAAAGCTATGGTAATTAAAATCCGTATGAAAGAAGAAGGAGGCATGATGTTTTTGAGATCCTTTTATTTTTTTATAGGACCGTTTTAAAATTTTAAACTACAAAACAGATTCATACATTCTGCCATAAATAAAAACAAACAATAAGGCAGGACTCTACATAAGCAAACAGAGAACAACTGTTTTTCAGAAAATGTGATAAAATGCTTTACAATCATAAGCCATCCAGTTTTTAAAATAAAACTGTTGAAAACTCACAAATCTTCAAGTGGCACATACAAGACACCCTTGAAGAGGGAACAAATGTGGTTCTGCCATTTTGTACTTTTCTCACATTTTTGAGAACCTAATTTTGCTTAGAGCACGGGTCTGTTCCATATTCTAAAATTCACACAGGTTGGTTTTTTTTCTCAAGAACCATATGATAGAGGCACCAATGACAACCTTGTTTCCAAGAACCTTGTAACAAAGCGTTGTCTCTTTTAAACATGTGACTTAAGAGGCAAAAAGGGAGTCCTGGATAAGCGTTTTGTTTCAGAGGCAGGTCTCAGCTTCACCGAATCCGCTTCTGCTGCCGTGCTCTGTAAATGTCATGAACAGGGGGGACGACAGCTCCCTTTTCTTCATCATCATCTGAATCCTCGTTGGGCCTTTTGACAGCCTTGGTGAGTACTGCATTACTTTCCACCGGGCCGTTGCCTTCCACAGCTAGCTCAGGGGCCCCGCCAGTAATGATCCTCACAGCTTCCTCAACGGCTGTTGAAGTGAAACAAAAAGGACTGTTGGAGGATACTTCAAGTATGCCACTATGAAAGGATATGTAGTTTCTACTTTGGATACTTTATTAGCAAAGCATGGGACAGTACTACTGATACTAAATAATTAAAGGAAAAGACAAAATCTGTTAAAACTCATAAAATTATTTTCATAAGCCAAGTCTGATAGTACATGTTAACATGAATAGAAAAGATAAGCTTTTATGACATTCTACTTAGTGGAATTAGAATATGAACAAGCTTCTCTCTGCCAAAGAGGGTTTGGATCACTCCTGGGTTTCGTTGTACTTTTTTAGAAACTTCAATGGCAAAGAATAACAATCTCTCCAGCCCAGGAAACAACAATGTCAAATTATACTCTGAAAACGGGGCTTTCATTACTTACTATTTGGTATCTTGCATCTTCGGAAAATTTCCATCAGTTCATCCACTTGTACAAAAGGACCCTATTTTGACGCAAATAAATTTTAATCCCCAGTAAACTGATAAAATAGCATATTGCCCGTTATGCAAGAGAAAAAGCACACAATTACTATAACCCATAAAGCCAGTATCTACCATGAAAATAGTGAACAAACCTGGAAACAGATAGGAGGAGGGAGAAGTTTCATTAAAACAACGGCTGCAGGAGGCACTGGGAACACTCCACCGGGGACAGGGTGTAAACCTGGAGCTGTGAGAGAAAGAAAAACATAAAGCAAGTGGGTTGGAAGAATTTCTATACATGTAAAGAGCTAAATTTCTATGTCTATGTTGCTTTGTTCTGGACATTTAAAATACTTTTAGTGCTTTACCCACTTGACCAAACTCAAGTGGGTGAGATAATGAAAGCAGTTTCAACCCCATGGCCATTGGGAGGCAGAAAAGTAGAGGAGTGACTTGCATAAGACAACCCAAGGGCTGAACTAAAGGCAATTTTTGTCACAGACTGTTTCTGAGCTGCACAAGTCATTTGTTCAGCAGTCCTGTTTAAAGTCAACTATTCAACAAATTTAATCAAAAGTGCCTTGTTCAGAAAGGACCTAGAGGGGCTACTAACCATTAGTAAGTATAAAAATACCAAATAACATCACTGGAGTAAGTTTCTAGCAGTTTAGGTAATCTGCACATAGCAGCATTTCTGAAAACTAAGTATCACTGCCAAAATGGGTTACTGGAATCTGGATCACTGAAGTCTTGTTTGTAGGACATTCTTAGTTAATCCGGTTCAAAGATTACAGCCAAGTCACTTGCCATAGTGACCCTAAGTCTAATAAGCAGCCTGCAATGGAAAGGCCATGTTACTCCCCCCGCCCCCCGCACCTTGGATTTAAATCAACAAACAAACCGAGGTCTTGGTACTGGATCTAAAGTCTTGGCTTACGTGCTAAATGTCGTGGCTGAAATGGAATCATCTGCTGAGTGTCTGGTTTAGGGTATTCTGGTTTTCTATCCACTTCATCTTTCAGAACAGGCACTATAGAAGGAGCTACAACTGGGTCTGGAATTATAGCGGCTAGCTTAGCACGGGAGACATCCTGAAAATGCAGAACAGAAGAATCCTAAACCTGAAAAAGGGACTTACAGAGTATAATTGTGCAATTGTATAATCTTGAGGATACACAGTGTGAATAATTGGGTTAAAACCACCAAAAGAGAAAATAGAGAAAGATAAGAACTTTAATGATAGTAAAGACTGTTAAATACTCAACCAGGAAAACTGTTTGGCTCTGAAGACTTGGTGTTTTATAACCTTACCACAGCGCCAGTCAAGCAAGAGTCGCTACACTTAGTGTCACCAGGAGGACACCGTGGGATAGACAGAAGCGTTTGGGAGTAAAGTCATAAGACCAGGCACCAAGTAGATGGTACGGTGGTAATTTGAAGGAAAATTCAAATGTAGCCATTTATTCCCTCTCTGGGGGAATAACTATGAGGCAAATAGTAACATCTTTTTAAAAATTTTTTTAGGCAGTACATCTCACTCCACATCTCCATTTTTATAGGAGGGACTAAACTCAGAAACGTTCTGATATTTCCCAGGCCACATGGCTAGTAAGAATAGAGGAGGACTAGGAGCCCAGGCCTCTCTGACCTCAAACTCACCCACAGTGTTCTTTTTAATATACTAGCAGTGCCCTGCAGGGCTGAGAACAACTCTCTCAGCTATGTCAAAGGGAGTGATACGACCACCTATTAACAGAGACCCTATCCCAGAGGAGCTCCTCTGCTCAGGCAACCACTGTCAATCTACCTGTCTAGAGCCAAAAGAATGAACTCTTTATGCCATCATTAAGGGATATAAAACCATTTCACTTTCTCAAAATTTGTTCAAATGCAGTTGGTGACATCTGGTCTTATATAAGCAAATCTAAATGAGTAGGCACATTGGAAATTGTCTCTCTCACTTGTACGTACATACACACCACAGGCAGAAGCACATTAATCCTCAAAAGACCAGAAGAGTAGAAATAGAAATACAAGATGGAAAACTCATATTCAAGAAGTAGTTCTACTTGGAAATAGTAAGAAATTTATTTTTATTAGCTTCTTTAAAAAAGTTGAAATAGCCCTTTTTTTTTTCCCAAAACAGCTAACAATTTCACAAAGTAGAGTAAGTCCTTGCTTAACATTGCCAATAGGTTCTTGGAAAATGTGACTTTAAGAAAAATGACATATAACAAAACCAATTTTTTTCTCATTAATGTTATGACAAAACCACATTAAATGAAGAAATGTTATTCAATGACCTGCTGTATATTGTTTCACTTCAAATCAGTTTCCAAGAACCTATCGCTGATGTTAAGTGAAGACTTACCATAGTCTTAAAACGTCTTTGGCTTTTCAAGAGGTAGTTAAGCTAGAAGCAGGAACTGCTAATTCCTTGGTTCAGAATAGGAATCTGGGACTAGCATAGAATTGGGGCTTCCCCTAACAAAAATGTCTGAAGCTCAATTGTGGGTAGTTTTTTTCAAATTTGTTAATCTGATTAAGATACAGATTGAAACCCAGATCAAAAGAGGGCAATGGGGAAAAGAATGATAGTCAAGAACATCCTAATGCTGGTTGGCTTAAAGGGACCAACCAAAGACTTTTGTGCATACAGCCTCCCTTTTGATTTCCATCTTGGTCTTTGTTCACATGACACAGAAAGATTAAGAAATGATAGAATACTAGCTTTCTCAGAAAGGGCTATTTCTGGAGCTGTGTAAACATGAATCTCTCCCCCTGGCCTATACAGGTTCAGGTACTAGATTTATTTTCTTATAACTCTATGTAGAAGAGTTTCATACCTAGATAAGCTAATCCCTGAAGGGCTTACTGAAGGAGCATTGTTGTAAGGATACAAATTCCCTTAAGGAACTTTATGGATTTAACAAGCTGTAATGTTTCTTCATTGTATCTTACAAAATATGCATCAGGAACTAACTTTGCTTTAAGATCTGTTAAAACATGTTCATTAATTTGGTAAGAACTATTAGAAATAGTCATACCTAAGATGATACTTAGATTTTCTTTTTCTTTAAAAATTTCTCCCCCTCCATCTGACATAAGATAAGGCACTGACAATTTCAGGGGTAGAATGAAAGTGTTTTTAAAATCTCATTTCAATTCTCATTTTGTTTAGCTACTTTTGACAGTGTTTCAGAAACCCAAGGAACTTTTTTATTGTTTTCTGCAAATCTATTCTAAAACTAGATTAATTTAGATTTCAGAATTTACGTTAGAGTGAAAGTTATCCATGAACTCTTCTAAAACACTGGAAAAGGACACTATACACATTTTGATCCTAAGTACATACCTTATAACCAAGTGCTTTTAGTTCACTCGTAGAGCAAGGATATAAATCCATGAACTTGTATCTATCTACCAGTAAAGCCGTTTCTTTTCCTTCATACTCTTCTTTGAATGCTGTAAACCGTCTTTTCTCCACTTTGAGTATACTAGCTAGATCACCAATATTACTCTCAAAAGCTAGAAATCGGGCCCAGATTTCTCTGTAAAAATAAATATAATCAATACTTAATTATTCTGGGTTTGGGACAGGACAGTTCATTTACAAAAAAGCCTTAAGTTCCCCCATTTCCCCCCTAACTTTTAAAAAGCTCTTTTTTATTATAAAGATTTCCAAACTACAGAAAAATAGAATAGTATAATACCTATATACCAATATCTAGCTTGTTAATATTTTGCCATATTTGCTTCATCTTATTTTTTTGTTTAAGCATTTCAAAGTAAGTTATAACACTTTACCCTAAATGTTAATACTTCAGTATTTAAGCCCTTTTTTGAGTTTTTACTTATTTAGCATATCTTCCTATTCTTTGTGGTCAACAAGACCACTTACCTTAGAGAGAGGGTAAACTCTAGGTAGAAGAGTTCTAATAGGAACCTAGACATTTCTAATTTCTCCTGAATAATGTGTCCTCATCATTTTGTTTAGTGGCATGAATTATAATGTAGAATATACTTTTCATCTAATGTATGAACAAAAATATATTCCAAAATCTAATGATTACTCTCTATTGTTTCCCATTAATGTGGGCCACTGGGGACAAACTGGTGTCTTATTACTATTTTAATAGGCAAAGTTAATGTTCAGACTACTTAAACACCTTTGTACTAAAGTAATATATTGAGTACCTGTTATATACCAGGTAAGAGACTATCACGAAAATCCTACACTGGTAGACATTATTGTTACTTGATAAGAAAGTGAGGATTGGTAAGGTTATGTTTGCCCAATGTCTAGTTGGCTGAGCTGGCAATTGAACCCAAGACTCCAAAGCCTTACTGTTTCCACAGTACCACTATACCATGCTGTTCCTCTGTTTGGTAGAACTGACAGAGTGAACATAAATCAGAGACATAATATGTACAACAAACTAAATATATAAGTCTGCTTTCGAGTAAGGGAGGTAAAAATTTGAGAACTCCTCTCTTAACATGTTCATATCAATTTCAAGGGATATATTAAACTAGAAAGATATATTAAAATATTTAATAATTGCTTGCTAAGGCATCTCTTAAAACAATTCTAATCACTATGCAGAAAATTTAAAAATAATCTTAAAGAGTTATGAAAATATTGCAGGTAGGTAAAACAAGTCTTGAAAGAGAAAGGAAATTTCTCCTGAAACTCTTAGGAAAGCAAACATTCACCCCATAGATCAATTAAAGCTACCTTTAGAACCCAACCAACAAGTTTTCACAATGGCTTACCCAGATTTCTCAGGAGGAAGGCTTCCAGATGTTAAAACTCGTTCAAACAAAACTCGAGTATTATTGTCCTCTAGGATATTTAAAAAGATTTTAAAGATTTTTTTTTTAAAAGTTCACTTTTACAATTCAACAATATATTCTCACATGCATTATCTCACTTAACCCTCACAAAAATCCTATGCAAAAAGGTAATCATTATCAGCCCTGATTTTTACAGATGAGGAAACTTGATGTTCAAAAAGATTATGTAATTTGATCTGGCTCTGTTATTGAGTAGCAGAACAGTAACTAGAAGTCAGGTGTTTTCACTTCTAGTTCATCCCTCTTCTGTACTGTATAGCAGTTGTAATGCAAAACAGCTATAATAGTATGATGTCTGAATCAGCTATCCCATTTGCCTTTTAAAAATAATGAAAATTACATATCTGCTGACATTATAGTAGGCTACCACTATTTTTTAAACACATTGAATGTGAAAGATGGCAACCTCAAACTTAAACATAATTGAGTTTCTTATTTTGAGGCACCAGGACTATGCTATACCTAGCTCCTTTAACTTCTTATAGAGATAAGATGACAACTAAGTTGGTAGGTAGATATGCAAATGTAAATGACTTAAGAAGGGTTGCCAAAGGTGGATTAAATTCTAAGAATCTTAGGAGGGCCTCTATAGTTGGAAGAGAGAAAATGACACTTCTTGCTATTATAAACTGTTAAGAGATCATTTAAAATTTAAGGATCCTGGCCAGGCAGTGTGGCTCACGCATGTAATCCCAGCACTTTGGGAGGCCAAGGCAGGAAGAGTGCTTGAGGCCAGGAGTTCAAGACCAGCCTATAACATAGCAAGACCCCATCTCTACAAAATGTTTTGTTTTTTTTTAATTAGGTGCGCATGGTGGTACATGACTGTAGTACTAGCTACTTGGGAGGCTAAGGTGGGAGGCTCACTTGAGCCCAGGAGTTCAAGGTTACAGTGTATGGGGCCACTGCACCCCAGCCTGGGTAACTTTCTAAAAACAAAACAAAAACAAAGAAATAAAATGTAAAAATCCAACAGTAAATCTATTAACAACCATTGAATTGTATACTTGATGCACTTATGGTATATAAATTATACAATAAAGTTGTTAAAAAGAAAAACATCCAACAGAGTGGTTGGTTTTCATTGCCTCAGGGTAGTTATTTGGTTTGTTATTAATACATGTCCATATGCAAAATAAAAGCATGCGATTAAATGTAGTCGACCAAAGAAGATGGCACCATTTGTGTGGCTTCCATCTTCAATTTAACATACTGTACTTTTTAAAATGTTAAATAAACTTTGCATTGTATCCTTTTAGCTTTATCCCAAGCTTTGCTTCAGACACACTTTTTGCCATTCCACATAACTTTCCCACTACTTGTTACATGCTGCGTTCTCTGCTGAGAATAATTAATCCCTTCTTCTCTTTCTTTACTTGGCTAACTACTCATCTTTAAAGATCCAACGCATGTGCCCTTCTCTGTGACACCCTCTAGAACAGCACTGTCCAATAGACATAAAATGCAAGCCACATATGTAATCTAAATTTTCTGCTAGCCATATTAAAAAGAGTAAAAACAGGTGAAATATTTTATTTAACCCAATACATCTAAATTCTTATCATTTTAACATATATTCAATATGAAAAATTATTAAAATATTTTATTCTTTTTTTTTTTTTTTGGTACTAAGTCTTTGAAATCTGGTATGTATTTTACACTTACATCACATTTCATTTCAGCCTAGTCACGTTTCAAGTGCTCAATACCTAATAGTCTAGTGGCTACCATAGTTGCACAGCACAGTTCCAGAACTTAAATTACACTCTTCTCAGTGCTTCTAAAATATTTAATTCTGGGTTCTATTATAGTACTTAGCACATTTTTTCATGATCACCACCGCCATTATAAATAGTTGACATTTATGGAATGGTAATATGATATGCATTCCATAAGTGTTAAGTAAAATACATGCAAAAACTCATTTATCCTCTCAACAATCCTGTGAAAGGTATTCTTATTATGACCATTCTGCAGATGAGAAAACTGAAATTTAAGATTACACATCAACCTCAGAAGTATGCTACAATGACGCATCAAATGATGATGCAATTATATTTACACACTGGATTCCCCCATAAGAATGCTCTGGTAATGAGAATGGAGTCCTATTCCCCTTTGTACTTCCAGACCCTGGTAACCAAAAGGTAATGAATAAATGTTGGATGGATGGATGGATGGATGGATAGATGAATGAATGAACTACCTAAAACATTGATTTTGGAAGACAATAATGCTGACATTAGATGTCATCCTTATTTAAAAAATAATAAAAGTATTATACATACTAGTAACTATGTTAAAAAAAACAGGCAAAATAATTTACAAGTGGTAAGGAACATTGAATTTATATAAGAAAACTTTATCAACTAAATGCCCCACTATCTCACTTTTTGAAGTCTTTTCCCAGAGTGTAGAATCACTAAGCTGAAATATAAAATCATATTTAAGTTTTATTTCTTTATACTATTTAGGTATATAGAATGCTATATTTTTCTGGAATATCATTAAAATTATTAATTTATACTTATTTCTATAATCATTTACATGGCACATAATTATATATTTCTTTCTTAAACCAACTTTTATACCAGATCATTTTTTGTCAAGACATTGCATATCCTAGCCTATAGGTAACTACACTGAATGAATTACCTAGTACAGTGCCTAGTACATGGTACAAACTCAATAAAGGATACCCATTATTATTACAACAGAAAAGGGACATAAAGATACTAAAAACCCATAATGTTTCATTTTTAATCTCTTTCCCACCAGCCTCAAGGTATTTTACTATTTCAGCATCTTTGAGATTTGGGAGCTGGAGGGTTTTTTGTCTATTTTCCCTCCAGGAAATAAGAGACAATTTGCTCAGAGTTATCAGAAATGAATATAAACAACTCCTTGTTTCCTCAGACTGCAGCTTTATCCTACTGCTGATGGCAGTTTACTGATTAAAGACCATTCTGCAGAGTCAAAAAGCACCTATCATTACTCTATAAATTCATGGTTGATAGGCCACGAATATTTCTTGAGTGCCTATCAAGTTCCTGTCTGGTATGATGTCAAAATTATAATACATTCAAGAAGGAAAAAAATCCAGCAATGTAATTTCAAATGGTTTAACATTAACCATCATAGATTCTAGAGTCAACTTACCATTGAGGTGAGAAAGATAGTCAATATAGGCTAGGACATATTCTGGAATGTCTCCATACTTCTTTAGCCCCAGTTCAAAAATCTTAAAGGCAACAGATTTGTCCTAGAAGTAAAAAGAGTAAAGTACTAATTTCCATGAAATGTCAGACAAGATACTCAAAAGAATATTAAAATTGCAACACCTAAATATGACAATGTACATAAAAAGTAAAATGGAAATTAATATCATGTTAAATAAAAATTGCTGAGCTAAAAACTATTCAAGGGGGTTTAGGTTTAGAAATATGGGGTTTAATAAGGCATAAATTAACAGGCAGTTGGGGATTTGCCTCTATATAATTTTACACAGATATACTTAGATTTCCTTCACAAAATGGAACAATTAAAGTTTATAGACAGAAACTAGGATGACCTTTCTTTTAATTGATGTATCTCAGATGAATAAAATTATTTTACCTTTATACTTGTATTTCAGTATTTACCTTACTACAGTAATACTCCATGAGTGCTGCAGTAACATAGACATGGTGGCGGGTTCTGGTATCTTCTCTTGCTTTTTTAAATATCATTCTTCCAGATTTGATACCTTCTGCTCTCCTTGCAAATTTCATATATTGGATATATACCTATGGAAAAAAAGTATTTGTATTCTACAGATTAGGCAGTATGTTTCCCATATACAAAAGCAATCCTGAATACCCAAGAAATTAGAGAGTAGGATTATAATAAAATACTATTTGAATCCACAAGTAATTTTTTCTGGTATTAGAGATGCATGCAAATTTATCTGGTTTTGTTTTTTAGTGAGGTGTAACTCACATACCACAAAATTCACCCTTTAAAGTGTACAATTCCCTGGTTTTAAACATATTCACAAGGTTGTGCAGTCATCACCACTATCTAATTCTAGACTATGCAAATTAAATATTAAGGGAGAAAAAGGTGAAACTAATAGAAAACACTCCATTAATAAATACCAAGATCTAGAAAACTTAAGGTTTGATTTAATATAAGCATGTTTTACAATGTATGTTTAACTTTAAATTTTCTTGGTTTATTGAAACAAGCCCACTACTCTATTTTCCAAAGACCATATAATGGAACTGTATTGATAAACTATGAGCCACTTTATATACCCAACACCTACAGAGTGTCCCCCACATGATGACTATACAGTATTTGTTTAATGAAAAAATGACTATTAGTAGAGTCCTGGTTTGCCTAGTTTTGATGGATGGATGGATGAATGAACTATGAGCTCCTTAAGGAAAGGAATTTTATCTAGTTTGTCATTATATTGCTGGAGTCTAACACAATGCACAAACTCCAGTATTTTTGCTGAATATGTTTGCTGAATGAATTTTAAAATGATGAATAAATACAAGCAATTAGAGCAGTAGAATCCAATATAACAAACAAACAAAAAGCAGCATAGCTGTAATTGACTTGAGGCAGAAGAAGGTCTAGAGCCCCATTCATAGGCTGTCCCCTTCCCCTCCCACTGTGAGAGTTCCACTGCACATTTGCAGAAACGTAAGGCTTTGAAAACTACTTCTACAGAACAGGATTTAGGATAAAGTGAGTTTCTGCCCAACCCCTTCCCAGGATATTGGTTTCTCCTGCCTCATTTAAAAAGAAATATTTATTAAGCCACAATTATGTGGCATAAAGAGGCTTCAAACCATGCTCACAGAAAGTGTTAAAATCCCTCTGTAGCTATTTCAGGTAGCTGCATTAAAAAGAAAAAAATCCAGCACAGAGCAGATAAGTTTGTCAGAGACTGGGGCAGAGGGAAGGGTTACCCACAAAGGGGTCACATGAGGGAATTTTTGGAGGGTGATGGAAGTGTTTTGTATCTTAATTGTGATGGTGGTCCCATGACTGAATGTTATTTTTGAAGATTCATAGAACCACACAACAAAAATAGTGAATTTTGCTGTATATAAATTGAAATTATTTTTTGTTAATCAGACTGTAAAGGTGGGAGAGAGATTTGTAAAGTTACTCACCAAGGTGGGGTCAATATCCTCAATTGCCAAAAGTCTGTTATATATACTGTGAACCTTCTCATACTTCATGCGACTCTAAGGTGGTCGAGAAGAAGTGAATATGAATATATGGTTATAAACAAGCAGGAATTTGAGCTCTAAGGAATCCAGAAGCTGTGCATTCTGCCCCCACAATGGCACCTACTTTGAGCACAAATGTAATGAGCTAAGGACTAGTAACTGTTCATTTTGCATTATCTCTATCGAAAGCAATATGCCAAGCAAAGCAGCAGCCAGGAAAAAAACTCAGTCTTGCAGTAATTCTTGAATTATAAGAAAGTTCTAAACATTTTTACTTACCTCTTCGTAATCCGCATATGCAAAATAAAGAAGCATATTCTTCTTTAATAAAGTGCTTATGGCTCTTTCATATATATTAGCAGCTTCATCACTAAATAATTTGGCATTATTCATATCCTAGGAGGAAAAAAAAAAGCTTATCCTCAATAATTTTAATAAAGTTGAAAGAGAATAAAATTAATATAATCGAATCTACTTTATTTATATGTATCTAGAAAACACACATATATATGGGTGTACACACACACACACGAATACACATGCATTTATGGATTCTAAAAAAAAATTCCAAAGACTTCTTCCATTATTTTAACTTATAAAAGAATCATGCAAGTACTCTAAATCATTCACTTTAATACATTAGAAAACAGCTACTATATTGTAATTCTAAGGCAGCATAATTACACAAGTGTCACTAAAATACATACTGACATAAGTTTACAATTTTCAACACTTATACTTTATTACCAAAATTCAATGATATATTTTTTAGCAAATCATCGCTATAACAAAACTATAAAAAGACCAAAGCAGGAGTAGGGGTAAGGAATACTCACTCCCTTCTCTGCAAGCAGTTTACTTGACTGCTCAAGATACTGGGCAGCTTCATACCAAATATCAGGGTGATGGCCCAGCACAAGCAGGCACTGTTCGTAAGCAAACATAACTAAGGAAAGACATTCACAAAAACATTCAATTAAAATAAATATTATTTGTAAAACCCATCAATACAAGCATCATAACTAAATTATTAGGCTATGATAGGGTCTTCAAAAATGAATAACAATTACAAATAAAAAGCTTTAGTGATTTCTGGCACCATCATTCACCCAAGCCCCATCTGTCCACTATTTATTAATATTTATTGAGCACCAACTATATGGTAGGGAATGTGAAAGGCATTATAAGTACAAAAGTGAATAAGAATTCCTATATTCAAAAAGTCTGCAGTGTATGCTTTAAGAAAGCAAAGATAAAAAGTATTATGATAAGGAAAGTACAGCGTACTCCTGAAACTTACAGCAGCCAGACTTAACATAGTTTAGGAACTAAAGAAAGGCTTCACTAAGGAGCTGACTTCTAAAACGAAACCTGAAGAAGGGACAGAAGCTGGTCAGATGAGAAAGTAAGTAGAGTGGAAGAAAGATGGGGTGGATACAAAAATGATGTAGGCAAAGGAAACAGTATTTGCAAAGACCTACAGCTGAGAGAGCAAGGCAAGACTGAGGAATTCAACAGAGTTCCAGATTCCAGTCCAGCAGTAGTAGAGTAGTTTGTATCAGACTAATCCTCCTGAAAGTAAAAATTATAAACAAACAAAACCAAAAATCAACTATTTAAGGTACTGGAGAATGACCAAAAAAGCAGCAGAACTCAGAGGAGATTGAGCCCTTGAAAAAAGGGAACCACATTAGTTGAGCTCCATACTTATTATGGTGTTTTCCTTCAAAAGCAGGCCCATGTCTGTGCAGTTCTGACAAAGCAAGAACTCAAGTCAAATGCTACAGACTTACTGGCCAGGAGTAACATGGAGAGCTGCGCTCTGAGAGCAGCTGGAAATTGAAGGGGGAAATTCCCAAAAGAAGAGAGCCAGAGCCTGAAAATCTGGGCATAAATATCCTCAAATCCTTAGCTGATCCCTGAAATGCACATACAC